GAAGGCTGGCGCCCCCCTTGTGTGGGGGGGGGGGGGGGGCCTTGCTGCACTATGTTTAAGTTGGTATTTCACAGTCAGCCTTTGGAATACCTTCAGCCACAACATTAGGAGCAGCACTAACAGCTGTTTTCATAGCTTAACAAGCCAAAAGGCAAACAGGTTGGGTGTTTTCCTCCCCCCCCCCTTGTTGTCTAAAACTTTGAAAAGGAAAGAAAACAAGCAGGGCGTCTCGTGCACATTTTATGGCTTCAAGCATGAGCCTGCCTCTGAGCTCTCAGCTTGCTCCTACCACCAGCCGCTTCTTCAGGACACCAACAGACATGCAAAACAGAACTGTCTGGAGGTGGGAGTCCAGCTCTGCAGGGAAAAGGGCTGCAGGCAATAAGTGAGAGTACTAGTACTGATTCCTCCTGCATGCAGCACAGGGAAAGATGATGAAAGGAGAGGGGCTAGTCCTGTGACTAAGTTCAGTAACCTTGTCCCAGTAGTGAAATGGGGCTGCTAAAAAAAAATAATGAGGTGCCTGACTGGCTGGAGCAAAGATGCACAGAGCAGAGACAGAGAGGACAGGGTACAGCACCTGGTCTGCTGCAAGAAGGTGGCAAACGATGAGGTGCTGTGGGTGAGGAGCACAGCCTAGGGCTTCCCGAGAAGCATCTTGCTTGCCATGCGCGCAGTGTTCCCCACCTGCCCCTGCCAGATGAAGGGCTGCAGGAGGTGGGCAGAGAAAAGCAAATGCCGCCTGTTCTTGGTCGCTCTCCACACTGGCCTTTGCCTGCCACACTTGCTGGTGCCGCTCACTGATGGCAGAAACCTGCGCACCAACCACCGCTTGGGGAGCAGCCCCGTGGCGGGGGCGTGGGGAGACAGAAATGCCCTGGCACAGTTCTCCAGCCGTGCAGTTGCTCGGGCAGCTCTTTGTGTGAAGGCAGTTGCAATTCGCTGTCTCAGGCTTAGCCAGCTGACAGGCAGCCCTTACAGAAAAGACTTCTGACAGTGGTGGGGTGGGGTAATGACCAGATAGACATTTTTGTAGTTTCTCCAGGGATTATTTTTTTTTTTTTTTTCAGTCTCCTGGCTGCCCAGCCTTTCTTTGGCTAGCCTTTTTATTGCTGCCTTGTGAGGCACTAGCTGGTTCCCACAATGGCTGACAAGAACATCTAAAGAGGGGACAAAGAAAATGTGCTTACCCTTGCTCCTATCGATAACCGCTTGTGCGGCCCCTGGAGCTGGCAGTGTAACACGCAGCTGCTTCAGACCAGCACACTGGAGACTGACCCAAAAGCAACACAATGGTTCAACAGCAGGGAACTGAACAGCAGTGCAGGAACAGCTTTCCAGGGCACCAGGCTGACCAGACTTGGCTAATCCAGCTCCTATCGCACAGAGTTTTTTGGCCCCATTTTAACACCCTTCCCTTCCCTTCCCACCCCCCCCCATCTAGAAAAACACTCTCCTCTTCCTCCTTCCTGTAAAATGCTGGATTGCATTTCCATTTCCTGACAGCACCTTCAGGACATGTAAGGCAGCTAACCGGCTGGTTTACTTGGTTTGTCCCATCTCTTAAATTGCAGAAACTCCTCACACTGCCCCAGGGATCAGACAGAGCAGGAATTCCTGACCTTACAAAAAAGCCAGGAGAGAGCTGGTCGGATCAGGCTTCTTAATGAATGGATGGATACGGGTATGGAAAAGACCTGCAAAGCATTTGAGACGCATAACTTTCAGAAACCTTTTCCCAGCAGCAGATGCACGTGCAGGACAAGAGAGAGGATGGAAATAGCCACCTCTGTATTGAGATGCTGAGGGGGACCTCAGTCTCCCAGCACCAGCCCAGCTTCAGTACGACAGGAAAGCTTAGTGCTGCTGCCCCGACAGCGGGTGTGCAAAGCCATTCTTGGGCCAAGCGGGTCTCTGCGCCAAGAGGAAGCATCACTGCTATTTCTTCCCTTCTAAAAGGCCATCAAATTCAGACTATATACAACATATATAGAAATAACTTTTAATTAAAAAAACCAACCTTGCATCAAAGATTATTGTATCAGACATTGAGGCAAGATTCAAGTTTAAGACAAACCAGTGTTAAAAAAGTGTTTAAAAAAATAATCAGAATGTGCAATAAACTACAATGTAGCAATAGGTTGTAGTGTTGAAACTTTACTGAACTGTTTTCAGATGCCCAGTGTATATTTCCTGTCATTTTGACCAAAAAAAAAAAAAATTGACACTAAAACTGGGTCATCTGTCCAGTGCCATTCCAGATATTACATGGGGGGGGGGGAAATTTGCACAAAATCAGAGACTCCTATTGTATTGCCTTCAACTGTCCTACACAGAAAAACTTCCCATTGCTGGATTATACCTACATTCAATGTTTAATCTTTGTTAATACCTCTTGAGATTGCAGATACATTCCACACTATGCTATTTAGGTGCAAGTTTAAAGAACTTGCTTTTATTTCCTCACTGTGAAC